GAGTGGAGTATAACCGGACACGAGAGAGAGAGATCAGCTCTGCCCGCTGTGAGGGACCGGTGAGCGGAGCAAAACACACCTTTAGACATCACCTAACACATTTAGCTATGGCATAGTCGTAATATATACATTGAATTATTCAATTTGATAATATGTAATCAACTTAGGCATAATTCCCAAAAAAAATAAATAAATAAAAAAAAATATTCATAACTCATATTCGAATACCTGAATAATTTCAAATATTCGATTAATCGTTCCCATCCCTAGTAGAAACTAGGGATGCCCGATAATTATCGGCCCGATAATTATCGGTCCGATATTAGGAATTATGACATCATCCCGATAAACCCGATACCAGTATTAATAGCCCCGATAATATACAATATATTTTTTGGGTAAAAAAGAAAAGAAAAAATACTGCGGTGTGGGTGGATTGGGATGAGGGGCGCTTGTTTTTCACTCGGCTCCTCCCGTTTTGCCAGTACTGTGGTATTAGTGGTTTAGGAAGAGGGGAGTTTTTCACAAATCCAGCACTCCCTAACTCATGCCTGGCTGTGACGTAAATGGTGTGCGGCCGTGAAGCCAGGACAGTAAACAAACATGTCACCGAATGCAAGTAGTTGCCTTAGCTTATTTTGTTTTGAGATGATGATGTGAATTACTGTTCAAATTAGTTCAAGTAATAATCGTTTTGGTCTTATTTTTTTTTCCGGGGGCGGGCCCTTTTTTCAGTTTAGAGCAATAGCCCCTCCAAATGTCTGTGCACGTCCCTGCATTTGACACATACAATACATAAACTGTAATACACATCAGACCTCGAGCACTCAAGGTGGATTGTTGAATCTACCTTTCCAGTAATTCAGAGCAAAAATAAATATTTGATCCATGAAACTAATTGCAACTTTTTTGATAATTGATACATTTTAGTTAGTTTAACTTTTACAATAGAAATTACAAACATTCCCTTGTTCTAGCTTCTCATATCTGAATATTTTCTGGTTCTAAGACTTCCATAATAGTTACTAAATATCTTTGAATATCTTTTTATGTGACAGATAGTACCGTTACTAGTAGGGATGCTCCGATCGATCGGCCGCCGATCGAGATCGGGCGATACTCACTCTCTGCCGATCGATCGGTGCTCTCTAAAAAATGCCGATCGCGAGAGCCGATCGCATGACGTAAAATACACTACACTTTTCTCTGTGCGCGGCAAAACAAGCTCCCCAAAATGGCTTCACCAGTCTGGCAGTATTTTAAGGTGTCCGAAAATGACAATAAAATAGCGGTATGCAACGTGTGTGAAGCAGAAATCCTGCAGCTCCGCCCGCTGTGACGGACCGGTGAGCGGAGCGAAACACACAAGAGATAGACCTAACACACTTAGCTATTTTATCTACCTCTGGAACAAGTTAAACTAGTAATACATATGTTTATTCTTCACTGTCGGGTCGCTCATTCCTGGATCAGTGAGCTGCATGAGACGATACTGACGGGCTGTCAGGAGAGAGAGAGAGGAAAGGAGAGCGCTTCCGCTCATTTCTCCCGTGTTATTATCCAAAGTGAATGTAAACTTGAATAATCTACTTCATTTGAATGTAATAATTATGTTGGTTGTTTGTGGAAGCGCCAGTGAATGAGCCCCATTAACTGAGTTGTAAACATCACTTTAAATGGAAGATCCCCATAGGCCACTCGATCGGATCTGCGATCGGTATCGGCCGATACTGATTCAGGCGATCGGCCCCAAAATTGGCGATCGGAACATCCCTAGTTACTAATAGTTAATTGACTAATACAAATTGTAGGAACAGTTGTTTTCAGCCTCTCAAATATGGGATTTTCAGCTTTTCTATGTTTTATATTGCATTACTGAATGTCTTTATGTTTTTGGCTGATAAAACAAGACATAACCGTATACTTTGACATACATTATTCTATTACAGATTTTATTGACCAACCATTATTGGATTAATCTGAAAAATAATCATCAGATTCATCTTTATTTAAAATTAATGTAATTGCAGCCCTAATGAATAAAAAACTATTTCATGGCACTGGGAGTTTGCAAAGCAAGTTTTGCCATTTGCTGATATCCTGTAGTCTACCCGATTAATCAAGGAAAATATGGTTGATATGTTGAGTGAACATAATTGCTAGTTGCAGCATGAACATATAAAATTACAGATTGATTTAATAATAATTTTCCAGCCGATTAAGTATGTTCTCAAAATAATTAAATCATAAGCTTAGTTGCTAGTTTATCGAAAGCCTCCGTTCTTAAGTGTTTCTATCCGTGAGGGATAACTGAATATTAGAAACCTCTCAGTATGACACAACATAGACCACAGCTCTAGCCTACAAAATGACAATTAAGCTGAATCAACACCTCTTAATAATGTTTGAACCAGAACTAAACATTATAGTCTTTGTGAAGTTATTTTTGCAGAACTTAGACAACCATGTGTATGCATTTCAAAATTAGACAGTGAAATTGTTATTATTCTGCATATATCGTGATCATAAATGTACATTTTACCTCCTGATACAGGTGCATCCATAAAAACTGCACCCATCTTCTCAGCAGCAGCAGCCATCTCTTTTGAAACAGACGGGTCGATGGTGCTGGAGTCGATCAGTAGGGAGCCTTTCTTTACCTTTCTGTTGAATAAAGTTAATGAGTTAGAGCCTGACATAAGTGTTAAAGGTAATGATGTACATATTGAAAGAGAAAACCAATGTGTGACCTACTTAAGAATGCCATTGGGTCCAGTGTATACATCTATGACATTGGGACTAGAGGGGAGCATGGTAATAATTCGGTCAGCCTTGTCTGCTACCTCACCAGGATTATCCACAATCTGAGAAACCAAAAAAATCCCAAAATTAGAAGGTAGCAAAAAGGTAAACTGTATACAAATTAAGTCAGTTTGAGAGCATTCACCTGTGCACCCAGCTCTTGCAGTTCCTTGCAGGACTCCGGGAACACGTCGGTAGCAATAACCGGGTATCCGTGGTTTAGTAGGTTCTTTGCCATTGGGTTTCCCATATTTCCCAGACCAACAAACCCCACCGGAGTTTTTGAGGCCATTGACCTTGCAGAGACTAGAAGATAATGTTCAAATTAATCAATGATAAGACACAGAATCATTGTTACATGAATGAAGAACATGCAATTCTTGCCTGCTTTACCATTAGTCAAAAATGTCCCAACTGTATGTTTGAGTTAGTTAATAATTAAAAGTAAACATTTTTCTCCAATCCAAGGGATGACAAACCTTGTTTAGATGTAGGGAATGTATTTCCATTGCATTACCCTCGAGTGCCAAAGTCATCTAATCTAATGGCACCAAGCCCTTTCAATATTTACTTTGTTATTTGATAACAGAACTTTTTTCAAAAAGGCAAGCATGTATATGCTGTGATTGTTTCACCACATTTTGTTCAATCACACATCCTACTTCATCTTTAAACAATAAATCGGTGTTGTGTAAATGATAAGGGCAAGGATATATATGGATTTTTTTGTATCTTTAAGTAAAAACAATGTGATGTTTCGATTGTGCCGCTCATTCTTATAGTGGCTACACAGAGCCACCTTCAACTTTCTCCCTGAGTCCAGAAGGACTGGCATTACATAATGTGGCTTGAAATACAGACAGACCACCAGAGAATATGCCGACAATTGTCCTGCCTTAGGCAGCTCTCTAATATTGCATTAGAGAGCTTTCGCGGTTAGCTGAGGCACGAAAACAAGACTTATTTTTTAACAGAAAAGCTCCTTCACCAATCACAAGTAAGGTGAACTGACGGCTGCAGCAGCAGCTAAACAGAGTAGCGAATTAACTCAAACATTTCAAGCAAAGTAGTGTGTTCATTTCACACATAGCCTTTAAGTAACATAAAGAGCAGCTAAGGTGGGCACAGAGACGTGCACAATGGGTACACGGTGTAAGTTTGTTCTCCTTACCGAATGCAAAGTCAACATGCTTGCTACACCTCCCAACTAGGAACCGAGAACCTCTCAACACAGCGGCCATGCTTCTTTTCCTCTTGACCTTACGTATGACGTAATAACGCGTACTTTAATGACGCTGCTTACGACCAATCACAAATGAGATCAGCGTAACACGGCTTCCTTAATTCAGCCAATAAACTGATGGGGAGGGTCTGAGACTTTGTTTCCGGTTTACAGATGTTTTACATGTCTTTAACACTATGGATTTAAAATGTAAACGATAATAGTTCATAGCAGAGCCATATAATATAATCTATCTATATGGCGCTGGTTCATAGGACTTTCTGGTTAATATCATTCTTGTTTCAGGGACATTTAGTATTGCCAAATCCAACTTATGGCACGAGGAAGTTCAAATGCAATATGCAAATAAAGAAATAGAGGATAAGCCTTTGTTGATTTGCAGAGCAAACATTCAGATGTTGGAGCAGCACAACAACAGAAATGAGTACAGATAGACTAGGTAAAAAAAAGGTAAAAAGAAATACAGGAATATAAACTATACAACTTTACCATAGCAATTATAGACAAAGTTATAATGTTAAAGTGTCCAGTTAGGAAGTAAAGTTGCATAATATGATTAATATTGTATAATAATACAATATATTATATTGTGAAAAGTAATGATACTTTGCATTGTCTGTATGAATAGTATAAATATAATTCAGTGTATATGTTGAAAGACAATACCTTATTAACATAGTAAATCTGATTGTACGGGTATAGTATGAGGTTTTAATATGTAGTATCAGCTGCAATGTAATAATAATAATAATAACAATACAAATAATTGAACAGTACACTTCGCCTTATTTATTATGTAATACAAATACTAACAATACTACAACTTTATTTTAATACTCGAGCTAGTACTAAGCCATTCAAAAATATTATTCGAAATTGATATTCAATAACATCGTGGTCTGTATTTTGTAACTTTGATTCTCTGTCTGCTATCTCATGTTTTCTCCTCAGACGGGTGGGATTCCCAGCCGACTCCCCTACCCGGAAATGACGTAATGTTATTATTATTCCAGGAAGAGGGCACGGGAAAGCACTGAACTGCGTCAACAATTGTTTTTAAGATACATTCGGATTTCAGCTGTTGGTAATCATGGCATCTGGGTATGTTTAAAGTTGATTTTATATATAAAACGTATTCTACCGTTCTCCTTGATTCTCTATCTTGACGTGGGCTTTTAGAAGGTAGTTGGACAGATAGCATTGCTATCGTGTTTACGTTGCTAACTAACCTCCAGCTGTTAGCATGCTGTTCTCAAGCTAGCGGCTCTTTTCGTTGAGGGCGTTGTAACTTGTCTCACCTAACAATGTGTTTAACAGGGATGAGTATATATATATAGCTCGTTAGTCTTAATGTCTCTTTGCCTAGAGGTTACGATGTCTTCCATTACATGGTGTAAGTAATGCTAGCTCGCTAGCTGCAAAGCTTGCGTAGCCATAATGATTGCTGTTTTCACATAAGGCCTCGCCTCCTAACGTTAGCTTGCATTTGTCAGTTAATAAATGCCACTACCGTGAGTTTTGTTTAGCGTTTTATATTCGGTAATGCTGTAGATGACAATAGTGTTCGGTGTTTCCGACCATCAGATGAGCGTGTGACTGCCACAGGCCCAATTACGTCGGATTATATCAGCTGAGGCCGAAATGGTGGATCCACCCTGAAGTAGAACTCACGTCATCTCAGTGTTATGTTTAAATAAAGCTTACTTGAACCTAGCAGAGTCTTTATATCATTCGTCGTGTCGAGGTGACACTATGATAGTCTTTATTATTAGTATTCCTTAAAATAAATCTAAAAGTCATAACATAGTTAAATACTACTATAAGAACTAGTCAAAGTAATTATCTTGTAACACAATGACTCACATAAGAATGAATGTCACATATTCTAGCATTAAACATTTGAACATTTATTAGGAGTAAGTTTTGAATCTCAAATGTGATCTGGGAAATGTAATAAGTTTAAATATTGTCAAATACATTGTGTTTATATCACAACATTTGCCTCAGGGGATTATACCATTTGTTCAGCATACATCATCCTTTGTTCATTTCAACCCGCTATTGGATACGAAAAAACTCCACAAATAACAACGTCATTACGAGAAAAGAGTCAAATAAAAGTTAGAAAGATATACAATACAGTTAAAAGGAGTTTATTACAGTTACAAAGTATTTCTACTTAATTGGTGTAATTAGATGTTTTTTACACCTCTGAGAATGGGTTTATTTTTTCTAATTTTAAACTGTTTCCCTTTTGACATCGTGGAAATAACCTATTACCTCAATCTTGGGGACACTGTATCATATAATCATTTCATGTCATTGTTGTTATCAGTTGTGTTTTAGCAATCATTGACAAACACATGAGCTGAAGTGGACCAAATACAATGCCAATGTAAGGTGTAAAGACAGGCACCATTACCACTCAGGGTGGTACTGATAAGTTGTATGGGTGTAGCTACAGGACCAGCCTTTTGCATTGATCATCCATCATGTGTTGGAAGTGAAAGGTCATCTCTTGTCCTGTACATTTCTGTGTAATGAACATTCCCTATGTTTCCCACTGAAAGAGTACCATTTTGCTGGTCATATGACAACATCTTTCTGGTGGCAAACTTGGAGTTTTTGATGACTTCATGTCTTGACAAGGCATAGTTCAATTAGTCAAGGCTAATGTAATCCCACACCTAAGAAACAAATCAGACATTCCCTTGATTGGGACATGTCATCTGTATTTGCCCATTTTATCAAGGGATATTTCATCACAAAAGCAAACCAAATAAATGAGTGATTTTTAATTGAAGTTATACTCATTTTTTGGGAACAAATCTAAGGCCAGTCAAAGGGAATTCTGGTATAATGGTACTAGTCATAATCTTGTGTCACCACCATTGAACACTAGTACTTTTAATATCTTAAACACAAATTATATGACTCAAAATGTAAGATAGTAGTTTCCTTGCGCTGGTTGACATTCATGAAAGCTGTTGTGATTGTCAGAGAGTTACTGTGTTTGAGTCGAATAAGAACAAATGCATTACAGCACATTTGGAAGGCAAATAGTGGAACAACCATTTTAATATGGGTATGGATTGTAACTAGTGGTGCACGATAATTATCGGTCCGATATTAGGAATTATGACGTCATCCCGATAAACCCGATAAAAGTATTAATAGCCACGATAATATAAAATATATTTTTTGGGTAAAAAAAAAGACAAAAATACTGCGGTGTGGGTGGATTGGGATGAGGGGCGCTTGTTTTTACTCGGCTCCTCCCGTTTTGCCAGTACTGTGGTATTAGTGGTTTAGGAAGAGGGGAGTTTTTCACAAATCCAGCGCTCCCTCGCTCATGCCTGGCTGTGACGTAAATGTTGTGTGGCCGTGAAGCCAGGACAGTAAACAAACATGTCGTCGGTAGTATGGGACTATTTCAGAGTTAGATAGTTCGCTTGCTATTTGTATTAACAAATGCAAAGTTCCACGAGGAGGGAAAAAGGCAACGAGCTATAATACTTCCAACCTGATTAGTCACCTGAAACATCGCCATCGCTACGATGGTGTGTTAAAAGCGTACGAAGACGCATGCGCTGCTACACTAGCGGCGAATCCAAAGCCAGCTGCAAAGGCACCGGGGCTTTTACCTATCGACGAGGCTTTTGAAAAAGGCAATACTCAAAAAAATACTCAATTATATTTATTTGGGAAAATAAACATGGTCACTTTGAAGAGTCAAAACTGCTCTTGGCTTTGTTTTGTTCATAGTAATAATGCTCATGTCATTTGCTCACTACTAGTCTTTTTTTTACCACCAGGTGTGCAAAAACTACAGGTACATTTAATATATATATATATTATATTATTATCGGTATCGGTCTTGAGAAGCAGGAAGTTATCGGTATTGGTTTAAAAAAAACAATATCGTACATCCCTAATTGTAACGCAATGCTATAGCCTTGAATAAAGGTTATATATCTGACAATTTGCCATGTTCTCAATATGAACAATTATTAGCTTAAATACAATGAGGACATGTTTAAATACAAAATATATGTGAATAGTAGGGCTGCTCGATTATGGCAAAAATCATAATCTCGATTATTTGGGTCAATAATTGATATCACGATTATTAAAAACGATTATCCATTTACTTTGAAAACATCAATTTATTGGAGAAATTTTTTTAAAACAGTATGTTTTTAACAGTTGATTACCCTGAACTTTAAGTATAACTCAACTGAAAAACCAATAAATAAATAAAAAAATCGTTATATTTCGCTTACGTTGTTTTCGTAATCGTTGCAAGCCGTAATCGTAATTGCGATTAAAATACGATTAATTGAGCAGCCCTAGTGAATAGCAATGTTATAGTGCTTTGTTTGAAATTACCTTAACTGCCAACTACACAATTGATAATATTACATTTGATTTAATAACCATATAAAGTCATTGTTGGATCCTCAGTATTACATTTTCTCTCGTCATATAGAACTGGCGTTGTCATTCGTTATGAAGAGAGGTATTTTGGTTGTTTACTTGATTATTATTATTTTTAATCACATATTTTGTTTCTTGTCTCTTCCTGTGTAGCCACTGCTGAGTGATTTATGGAACTGTTCCTGGACGGGACTTCATTACACGACAACATGGACACATCAAACTTTGCCCATGTCATCTTCCAGAATGTGGGGAAGAGCTACATGCCCCATGCTGCACTGGAGTGTCACCTCACCCTGACGCAGTTCATCAAACCAAATCCAAAGGACTGGGTTGGCATATTCAAGGTGAATAACGCTCTTCAATGCATTATGAAAGCCTTTAACAAAACTGCAGTATATGCATATTTATTATGGTTATGTGTAAATGGAGTAGCAGAAATATAACAGTACGGTTTCAAATTACTGTATGATAGCTCCATTTCTACAAGGGAGCAATGACATTGCGGTTATTTATCCAGGTCTTAAAAACGAACAAATTAGTGCCAGTGAACACCTCGCAGCTATGTGTCAAGACTTTTATTTAAGGTATTACTGAAAATGTGAAAACCAACTATTAATTCAGTAGTGAGAACAACTTGAATTATGCAGCTATTATAGTGCTTATTTGGAAGAGGGATTGGAGCGGTTTCACCCCCTTTAGTTCCCCACATGGATCTTGTTATAGGAGGACATTAAATCCAAAACAGTGGCAGTCATTTGTTTTAGCCTCATCTCTAGTGAATCGTGGTTGGACACGGAAGCATATGCCGGCTTTTCCAGTCCAGCATGCTTTTTATTCCTCGGATATAAGAAGGAAGCTGAAAGTAAATCAAATCATAAACAAAATCTAACTAATGGCTCTTTGTGTTTATGTTGCATTCTGCCTTATACCCGTATAGTGCACTTATTGTTATGAGACAAGTTGTTTCAGTTTTGCTGAACATGAGACATAAAAATGTACATTCGTATTTTTAACAATGATGAAAGCCCTATATTTATACTGTGTCTGAAAAAATAGGTCAATGATTAATACACCTAGTGTGTGCTATTCATTATACGTCTGTAGATTTATGAAATGTATGTTAACAGAGGGTTTTTCCAAGCTTCACTGAGAAATGAGGTCATGCTAGGCTACTGGAGGACGATCACATAATGTCTGGAGGCTGTCTAAGTACCGTGTTCAGCAGTCTTTTGGAGCTGGATGCCACATCACATTGTGTTTTAGCCTTAAGCTATTACCAATTGGCAGTATACATCTTAAAATTAGCAATTTCTTGAGCCTCTAAAACACAGAGCTGAGCAGGATCGTAAATTGTGTAAATGTTCCTGGCAGTGCTGACAGATGAGATGTTCTGTGCCAAGTTTTTAGGTTTGTTTGGGTAGAGATAACCTGGATACACTGTGCATCATTGTCGGCTCCTTACCCCCATATTTAGTTGCTACTGGCCCCCGGTCAAACAGAGCAAAGTCTTTTTTAGTTTGTTTGCAGTGCTACCACAGTTTTTTAGAAATCTATTTGATATGCTTTTGATCTGAATATAAGTCACGGTCCAGCTATATCTAGTTAAAGGTTTTTTTTTAAGTGGGGCTGTCTGTATGAGGTACTTATCCATAGTCAGTATATGACTTACAGAAGATCACGGTGGACACGGCCCCAGTTTAGAGAAAGCAGAAGCTAAATATCGTACTGCCATGGACAAAGGCAGCCCAAAAACACATTTTAGCCACCTAATAGTAAGAAACGGCTGGATATAAGTTCATTGCATGCTATATTTAGAATATACAAAAACAAATATGGCCTTTCAATGTTGCAACATCTACCATACTGCGTTTTGCAGTGCGTGCTGAGCTTCATGGAGGAATGTTGTTGGGACAGGTTGTCACAGTGGCCGAGGAGAAAGCAAGCACAGCTTTATAATTAAGCTGTCTTCGAGAACAACCTCTCTTTGTGATTAATGAACAACTCTCTCTTGAATTTATACACATAGACAATACATAACCTCCCTCAGCAGCATTGCCATAGGCTTCAGTCAGCTTTCTTGCAGAGGTATGACTTTGCTGGAATGCTTTTGAATAGTCATGTTTAAACATAAATAAACTCTATGGTCTCACTTTGTTACAGCTTGCATTTTGAGATTTCTCTTCTGCAATGTTGCTTGTGTTATCGCTTCAGTCACAAGTCCAGTTTTTATTGAGGCTCTACACCGTTTCTCTACCTCCTCTCCCCCTGTTTATACACAGCAGACCACTCTGTTGTAAGTGAAAGAGTTCCTCTCAGAGTTTTCACCCAGCACCACCTCTCTTGCTCTAATGAGTGGACTGGTTAGGGCTAGCCTTCAGTAATGACACTCTCTAACTAGGTGCATGTTTTAATTGCTTCCTGTTCTTTACTGCTGGAGGCTGGAACTGCAGTGGTAACAATTGGGGGTTTTGGAGCACCGTGGCCTTCTATCTCTGGCTCTGATGAACACTTGCAGTATTGTAGCTGTAGGCTGTTTGTACACAGGTGAAAAAATAAACTAGCCTGATGGAGAAAAAGCCTATACATCGGAGCAAATTCTGTAAGGATAAGTTTGATCTGTGTCAATGAATATTGATATATAATGTCACACACGTTAATCTATGTGCTCTTGCAGAAGCTGGTGTGAAAGGCTGGTTTGACTGGGCTTGTTGTGGATGTGTGCGTGTTTGAGTGTGCAAACACCGAAAGCCAGCCAGCTCGATGTGACTCTGATTTTGTTTGACAGTTTTATGGCACCGGGCTGAAGTTATGGATGTATTTTCTATACTCCACCCCCCCCCCCCCCTCATCAGCCATCAGTTAACAACACATCAAATACGTGTAATTACATTTAGGTTTTCATTTTCAAGTCACCTATGTATAACATTTTCACCTATTTCCCTCTTCCTGTTAGGAGTGAGTTGTAGATACATTTTTCACATAGTGACTGGCTCATGACAAGGGCTGGACCACATGCACGTGGTGGCAGGAGTTTCAGTGGTTTATAGAAATTATCAGTTGGCATGGTGGGACACCTATCTTCCAAACATAGATTAAAAACCCCGTAATTATTATAATAAACCACGTTGAGATTTTTTGGAGGTGGCACTGAGCGGATTCTAGGAAGTCTCCTTGTTAATTCTCCATTGCTATTATCTTACACTGATGTGGTGAGAGCGTCTGGTTGAAAGTATTCCCCACAATGTCTCACAGGTTGGTTGGAGCACAGCGAGGGACTATTACACATTCTTGTGGTCGCCTCTCCCTGAGAACTATGAGGAAGGCACCGCAGTCAACCGAATAGTGGTCTTTCAGGGTAAGATCATACCATGGCTTTATATGACTTTGACACATTTTTATAACCGCATATCAGAGGATTGTTAAAACACACTGAATCACTAGGTAGAGTTAAATAAGAACCTTACCCTTCCTGACCTGTGTTCTGGGGTTAAAAACATTTCAGTTTATGTGTTTTTTTAATCTGTTATACTACTTTTTATAAAGTAATAGATGGTAACATGACCTGAGAAAGATTTATTTTCATTCAAACCCACAACATCCCAAAGACTAAGTCTCTGATCCATATCATTGAAGTTAAACACACATTTATCTCAAAGTTATAACTGCATTTTGGAATAAGTGTGCAATTTAGGCAAAGCTAAGGACTGGGGTTAGTTGTAGGGTTGTGGAGGAATATCTCTCTGGCTTTTCTGTGCATTGTGTTCACTGACTGGATTGAATCCCTCCCCAGGATATTACGTGCCCAACGATGATTCCGAGTTCTACCAGTTCTGTTACGTGACCCACAAAGGCGAGATCCGGGGGGCCAGCACGCCCTTCCAGTTTCGTGCTAACAGCCCTTCAGAGGACGAGCTGCTGACCGTGGAGGATGAATGCAACTCTGACATCCTGGTGGTCACCACCAAGGCTGGCTACCTTGAGGTAAAGTATGCCACTCACTGACCTTAAAGGTGGGGTAGGTCATTTTGGAGAAACCAGCTCGAGTGCGCCGAAAAAAATCTGCCACTTCCTTACAGAGCCCCTCCTCCAACACACACGAACGCACACATGACCAATGAGAGCACAAGATAAGTTTGTGCACAGATGGAAGGCTGACAGGCAGGTAGGCCATCCAGTTATTTTAGCCAGGCCGGCTAAAATGATTGGTCATGCTTTTTACAGTACTACGGCTTCCACAGATGACATTTCTTTATGGATTTTTTGTCAAAGCACTTAAGATATTTATTGCTATCGGGATGTTAAGAGCATTCCATGGAATTTAACAAAAAGTGTATCTCGAGCCGGTTTCTCAAACTTACCTACCCCACCTTTAAGTGATACAGAAAATATAAGTGCTTGTTACATAAATAAAATGTTAAATGCTTCGCCCTACTGTCCGTTTGTTTGTCAGAAGATTTAGCAGTGCTACTCAATACAACAATGCTCTTATGCTGCTGTCAGATCCAGAACTTCCACTAACATTTCTAAGTTCATATTAGTTTGGTAACAAAATGACCTACAATGGTCAACAAAATGATATACTACTTGAAACTGAGGATTATGGGAACATAAACCTCTGCAATGTTTCCTCCTGTGCAGCAAAAGGTGGAGGAAGCCCAGAGAGAGAAGGAGGAGCTGGTGAAAAACATGGCCCTCCTGCAGCAGGAGAAGGAGCAGCTGGAGGTCGAGAAGGAGGCTCTGCAGAAGGAGTGTGAGCAGGAGAAGGAAAACTGTGCCCAGCTGAGAAGAGAGAGCCAAGTAAGCTGAGAACAGACTGAGTCATTTTCAGAGTGGAGGGGGGGAAATGTTTGTTTCTGTTGTGAAGGTTCAGTCAGTTCATCAAAGGGCCTTGTTCCTTCGTCTCTGGTTACAATAGCTGTTCTTGGTTTTTGAGTAAGCACATGTTGCTGAAAGTGCCAAATGATATGATTGATGCCCTTTTCTATTTCTTGTAGTTACGTTAAAGACAGTTTTATATCTGTCTCTTAGCACCCTCTAGCGAAAGACTACACATATGCTGAACTAGCCAAACTTATGATCCACTAAAAGAGTATAAATCACACTCTGACAGATATGAATGTTTTTATTATCAAAGTTGTAATTCTTTTTTTATAGCATACTATTAAGTTTTCAGTCTCAGTAATAATTCATAATACTGTCCTGAACCATAAATCTGCTGGTTTTAAAACAGCTTTCAGATGAAAACACGATTACAGATTTTGTGGCTGTTAACTTTACGACTATACTTTTATATGTTTTGTTTTTTTATATGGTGTGAATATAAAGATTTCCAAAATTCTTCCTATTAAGAAACTGTTACAAAAAATCATTTCCGTTTGCTTTTTTGATGTCATCTTAGTAGCATAATTGATTTATTCATTTCAAAGAGAATACACTTGTTATGCTTTGTAGCCTTTCACACGCCATGGCTCAGCATAGCATCAAATAAGTCATATACCAGGAAGCTATAATTATTTTGTCATATTAGTTTTGAACCCTTCCAGATGTATCTGTCTTGGCACACATTGGAGCAAATCATTTATTTTATGATTAAGAATGATTTATGCCAATTTTAGATCATGTGCATTCTTCTCTCATACCCTACTTGGGCTTTGGTCTTTAAACATTATATTTAATTGTCTCCCAGGAGGTGCAGAATTCTTCCCAGGCCCTGCAAGAGGAGAAAGAGGAGGTGAAGAAGAGGCTGAAGGAGGCCACAGCCAGAGTCATACAGCTGGAGGAGGATCTGATTGGAGTCACCCAGAAGGGCCTGCAAAAGGAAACCGAGCTGGACAGGTGAGCTCAGGATGGAGGAGTTGGTGCAGATTCACTAGTTTGGGTTGTTTGATCATCACATATCTCCCTTTTTTTTTTCTTTTTTTTTTCTAAATATTTCACCTATTGCTTAAGTCAGGGAGAGAGCTTGTGACTCCAGCAGTAGTGCATTAAAAACAGCATGAACCATATACCATACGCTTAGTTCACTAATTTATTATTTTCCGAACTCTGAATATGAATATTGACCGATGTACTATTTGGCTAACATTTTGTCTGACCTTTTCTTTAGTCTCAAGGATAGAGTGAAGAAACTCACAGCAGAGAAGGAAACACTCGAGTCTCATCTCAAGAACGAAAAAGATGAGAAGGAACTCTACAAGGTAATACGCTGGTAGTAGTTATGCCTTTTTTACATCAGGATACATGCCAAAATAGAGATTGGCTTAGCGGTGGTTTGGTTTTGACTACTTTGTCAGTGTCAGTTTTACCATCTGTACGGTTAACAATATATTTTGTTATATTAGATTCCCCAATTTGGAGGTTCAGTTAATTGACTTCCCCTGTTTCTTTTTTTACTTACTAGTAAGTACAAATTCTGTATCATCTTGCCCACACTTTTAGTCTAAAGAGGGAATGCCTTATTCTGTCTTCTTCTGCGCCGTCTGGTGTTTCTGTGCCTCTGTTGTGGTCGGCACGGCACAGGAACTGGGAGTGCCGCAGTGTCGCCACGGAAATGAAGCAAAAAAAACCCTACCTAATATAACTCGCAGCATCACACTGGGGCTGTTGCACTATGAAAACTTTACGGGCCTTCCTCAATCTCTGTTTTGTAATTGAGGTCATGCAGCATTGACTTTACTAGTCATATGTTCTTTGGTACATGATTGTGATAGGTGTTGTATAAATGTTTTATAACTTCTGTGTGGGTGCGCACCAGATTCACCTGAAAAACCGGGAGCTGGAGAACACCAAGCTGAGTGCAGAGCTGCAGATGCTGAAGTCTGTGGATGTGAACAAGGAAAACACCATTGCCCTGTTTAAAGAGGAGGTGGGACGCCTGCAGGCCTGCCTCAGCGAGAAGGAGAAACAGTACAAAGAGATCCTGGCCAAAGTCTCCCCATTGGTACAAATCACATTGTTTTAATGCTTTAACAAAAACTCACTAGATTTGTCATATAAAGTATTTGCCTTGATCAAAGCTTATGCAAAAAAGGTCCCCTATTATGCAAAATGCACTTTTTAATGTCTTTTATACATAAATAGGTGTCTCCAATGTGACTCACAAAGTGTCAGAAAAATACAACCCTCTCTTTTCCTCCATACCCACATCTCTTAAAACGGTTGTACAACGGAGCTGATCCAGATTTGCTGCGGTCATGACGGCATTACAGAAATGTGGGCTGGCTTTAGGCCCACGGCCCTATCAGAAATAATGCGCAACGTGTTTTGGACTTAATATGGTCTGTGTTTACATTAGCAAGCATCGCTAACACTCAGAGCTAACGCTGTACTGGAGAGAGCAGGATATAAAAAGGAACTCGCCTTGTGGTAAACCCGTGAGAGAAAAATCATTTAAGCTCCATACTGTTTCAGGAATAAGAAGTATCTGCCGGTAGAATTCTCCTGCATGAGCTCTCCTCTCTTTTTTTAATTTTTATAAAGCTATGGACCCAGAATCAGCACTTTAGTAACAGGGCTGAAATAGAGGGGTATGAGGCATGTCTAGAATGGGTGATCTGTTTGGTATTTTGAGCAAAACACTTCATAGACATGTTTTTTTTATATATCTGAGACCTATAATATATGCCTAAAAATGGTATAATAGGGGACCGTTAAGATAATTTGAAGAATAGAACAATTATTACACATTTATAATGAGCTTACAGAAATGAAAAACCTTTTAACTGGAAACATTTACATTTTTTATAGGGAGATATGAAGGCCGTGAAGGAGCAGCTGCGGCAGAAGGAGGACCAGCTCCACGCCAACAAGCAGCAGTCCTCCCTGTTAGCCGCGGAGCTGAGAGACGCCTCCAGCACCCGCGACCGCACCATGTCTGAACTGTACCACATGAAGCTGGAGGCCGATGCCCTCCGCCAGGCCAAGGCTGAGGCTCAGAGTCAGTGCACCCGCCTGGAGCGCCTGGTGGAGCAGATGAAGGCAGACGCCAAGAAGGAAGCTGTAAGGACTATTAGCAATCTGATCACTGCTTATTAATTCCATTGGCTCTGTCGAATACATTACATTTTTTATTAGCATTTGATATAATGGAAGGTTGGGTGGTAGGTAATGTGCCAGCATAGAAAACCTCTAATACTCTGTAAATCAGAATAATAATGATTATAAAGATAAATAAATCTGATTTTGATTTAAATATGTAATAATGTTGGTAGGTATTTCACCACAGAAATATTGGAATGTTATAAATCATAATTGTACTATATATTACCGACAAACCTTTTGTAACTACGCCAACGCTGACCAAAGCAAATGTATGCATTTATTAGTAGTAAAAGAAAAATAATGGAAACAGAAAATGCCTCACAGGGTGTTTTATCAGTTCTGCCTTTGAAGGGGTCGATAGCTCTTTCTATAATTCAGACTTAGCTAGGTTAAAACTGAAATAAATAAATAATAATAAGAAGAAACCATCCTCCTCCTGATCAGATTCTGTCTCAGCCTCATTGCATCGCTTTACTAAATGCTAGTTCTTGCAAGTTTATTTTATATCGCTACAACTTCCCAAGGGTCTTTGCATGCTTGAACACGAGTGTTTGTAGTCTCTGATCAGTTTTGTGTTGTTGTTGCCAGGCCAAAGCAGAAGAAGAGGCCGCTGCAGACCCAGCTGTTTTAGCGGAGCTGCAGAGAGAGGTGGAGGACCTGAAGCTGCGGCTGCACATGGCTGCAGAACACTACAAGGAGAAATACAAGGAGTGTCAGCGACTGCAAAAACAAGTGCTCAGACTCTCTGATCAGCAAGGGGTAGGTCCCAGCCGACATACTGTTAACCTGTGAGAGAACAGAACTTACATAAGAGTTCTGTAATACTATTCCATCTCATTGAATATAGGTTAAAGGTCTTTAGCAATTATTTGGTCTGTGTTCCAAATGAATATAAAGCAAAACCTCCTGAGATGAATCTTTATCATCATTAAGCGGGCTTTCTCAAGACATTTACACATGATGATTTCATTCAACTGGATTGCAGTCTTTTTGAAATAAACAAACATTTTGTGACATGTTGTCAATTGTTTTCAGTAGCATTTGTGTTTTTGTTACGCTTCCTATATGTATCTACATTAGGCCTGCACCAATGTTTTATTAATTATTTTCTGTATTCTTGTTTAATTTAAAGTTAATTTGTAACACTGTTTGTCTCCTGCCTGTAGGACCCGAAGAGATGCTCAGCACAAGAGATGTCCACAATCCCTGCATCAGTGAGTCCAGACACATCAGTTCCAGGTACGTGATATGTAACTGTGTAAGTCATGCAAGGAGTAATGGCATTTAAAATATTTATTATGCTTTGCCAAACTGTCTGACATGCCTTCATTATCTTTGCAGGAAGTCCAGGTTCTGCTGATCCCATGCTGGAAGCCATCATCCAGGAGAAGCTCAAAGGCATCAGCAGAGAAGCAACAGACAGGAGTGACAAGTACAGGAAGTGCAAGCAGATGCTGCTGGTAAAAAAATAATTATTTATGTCCTTTTATTGGTCATATGTCCACAAATGAGATATTTAAACCCCTAGGTTCTGTTTTATAAACAGTATGTATTCTTTGTATTGTAAGATAGAGGAATATGATGAAAGAGCATTGGTTGAAAATCTGACTGCTCTTCAGGAGGAGAAGGAGCGTAGCTGCATGTTTGCCGATGAGCTGGCCAAGATGGAGGTGAAATTTAAGGCACAACTGAAGACCAATGAGAACATGAAACTGCAGTTGGCAGCAGAGGAAGATCGCTACAAGGTCAGTTCAGACACTGAGCACTGCGGTCAGGCCGTTTGCTGTAAGTGATGCTCTGCTGATTTCAAATCAGGTCTGTCTTTGGACACTTACTGCGATTTTAGCGCTGGGTATGGCTGGTCTTGCTCAGGGATGGAGTCTTTGATGCTATCTCTCCCCTTGAACAGGGCCGCTCAGACAGTGTTGTTTATGAGCAGGCCTATCTGTGAGACCACTTTTTACTGCTGTTTATGTCAGACTCTGGAGACGAGCGCTGCTGGCTCTGAGGAGTCCTCTCCAGTTGCCTGGCTAATGCTGTGCTTGGCTCAGGTCAGGCGGATATTTGCTTAGTGTCTCAGAGGAATTCAAACAGGTTGTTTTGCTTTGCGCAGTATTGAACATAAATCAGTCCCTAGCAAAGGGAAGCCTTTTATGGCTGTGATCAATTAATGTCAAACCCTGAGGTCTGAGAGTATTTCAATGATACCGTTTTCAATCAGCAACACGTCAGATGTTTGAACATTTAAAAATGTCTCTTTTGTTTGTGTGTCTTGTGTTTACCTTAGAGCCAAGTGGCTGAGAAGGGACGGGAGCTGAAGGAACTTAAGGACACTCTAGCTCTTGTTTTGAAGGACAAGGAAAAAGTAGACGGGGTAAGTGACAGCTTTCATTTTTCTCTTTTATAGACTTCTTTCACTTTTAAGAATTCCTTGAAAAGTGACATTCCCCCTGAAAGTTTGCCTCACCCAATCTGGTCTGTGTTTAATACGCCTCTAATTGTAAAAGTAAATGAGTTCTTATTTTCCATTCCATTACTTTGGACCACCGCAAGGTCCTCGCTGACCTAAATGATTGCCTCGAGGTAATTCTCTTACAGCTAAGAGGAGCAGAATGACCCAATTTGAGGTTTAGACTGTAAATTAAAGTGGCGTCTGCAACTAACGTCAATAAAACACAGCGTCGCGATCCCTTTGAAAAGGAGAAGAGTTTCTTTTTTAATGAAGGGCACTAATTAAATTGTTTGTGTGAGCGAGAAAAAGTTATAGCTCAGGAGGTGCTGTGTGATTGTAAGCAGCACTGTATATCTGGAAAGAGTCGTGGTGAGATAAAATCAGGCATTTAGCTCCTCGAAAACATTTAATTTGGACTTTGTTCTTTGTTTGTTGTAAAATATATATTCTGCTGTTTCCTGCACAGGGCAGCGGCAAAAAGGGAGATCAGGGGGCCAGTGAGAAAACCAGTTTGGAGAGTATCCAGTCCATTGTGCCTTTATTCCTGCAGTACCCTGTCCCTTACGCCCAGGACGCCCCCACCCCCCTGCTGGTCTCTCAGAGCCCCAGTAAGCTGCATTTTGGAAACCCTTACATGTCGGACTCAAAAGGTTGGTATCCTTTTTGTTGGATTGGAGTAGCTTTCTCCAGTAACAGATATGGAAATAATGGACTTGCATTTACAGTAGACGTGTCTCTGAATTCTCTCCCTGCAGATGAGGGAGATGAGGAGTTCTCAGATGACCAGCTGCTGAGGCTGCCCCCTGTGGGCCCACCCTCCTGGGACAGCAACGTGGTGTGTATCCAACCCACCCGCAACCACAGCCGGCCCGAAGGCCACGAGGAGTCCGAGGAAAAGCAACACAACGGCAACAATGTAAGCTCTATTCTCTACAATACAGTTCAATACTACTTTCCTCCTTTATGCTACATATTCATAAAAACGTTCTTCCTCAGGGTAATGCCAACGAGCAGCCCGCAGCAGCTGAAACTCAAAGCCCATTTGTGACCGACGGACAAACTGCATTCTGCTTTGATCCCAGGTAACACACCCTCACTTTCAACAAACTCTCATAAATGCCATCCAAGTTTGCCGCACCCTACGTTTTCTAAACCTGTGCATTGTAACATGTGTAAAGTGTTTGTTCTGCTGCACAACCCCCTTTTGTTGGCATTAGTCAAGCAGCAGGCCACCCACGTTGCATCAGACAGATGCTCTTTATGGGCCTACGCTCCTGGTTTGCCCACATCATCACTTGACTGCTTACTGGAGCTTTTCTCCCGCTGCCTTTGTTTTCTTCTTCAGCATGAACATGAAGAGATGTCCGCTGTGTGAGGTCATCTTCCCCCCCAACTATGACCAGAGCAAGTTTGAGGAGCATGTGGAGAGCCACTGGAAAATCTGCCCCATGTGCAGCGAGCAGTTCCCCCTGGACTGCGACCAGAAGGTGTTTGAGAATCATGTGCTCACACACTTCGACAGCCACACGCTCAACTTCGACTAGAGAATCAGAGAATCAGCACATCTGCTCTGCCTACTTCCTGTCGCCACTGAAAATAATCTGCACTCTTTTCTGCATGTAATGGTGTGTAGATCCAATCTTTAGGACTATACTCGCCTTCGCTTTGTTATTTCAACTTAGAGGAATACTTTGAAGTGATGTGACATAAAAAAAATCATTCTGATTCAGTGTATATGACAGGGCCACTGAGGCAAACACTTTTTATAGGTAAAAGATATCCCTTCATTTTGATTAAAAGATAATTTAAGGGAAAACGACTGTTGTACCAATATGTACCGACTTTAAGTTAACTCAGATCAATCAGACTACAGGATGTAATGAATCAGGGAAAGAGATAAGTGTTTACCAAACTTACATTTAAAACATCCAACTAAATGGTTCCCCCCTCAAACATCAAGTCATTCGCTCACTCGTTGTAGAAAGCAGCCTTGGTGCACTATATGCAGTCAGGTAACAGTCTTCAGTGATTACATTCAGAAACGATAATACAGTATATCATCAGATCATCTATTTTAGATTTATTGAAGCCAATGATATTGTGAAAGCCTTTGTGTATGATATAGATTTGTTTTATTTTAGGTTTCCTTTGTTCTGATTTTAAGTATTGAAGTGTTTTTTTGTGTCAGAATCATTAAGAACCTTCATATCATCAGCTAATCAGTGCATGCTGAGCTTATGTTTATTTCTTTCTTTTGTTCTTCTCTTTTACAGTTATAACTTATTTCAATGTCTCATTTGTTCAGTGAGTTCCATGTATCTTATAAGATCTAATAAAGTCTGTTTGAATCTGAATCGTGTCCGGACGCAGTTAATCACACAGGAGTCTGTAGGCACACAGAGGGGTTTTTATTCTAAACGTAACAAAAGTTTACATGAAGCAGCTTTTTGAAGAAATACAGTACATCACCAGCTGTTACTCCAAACAACCTCTGGTGTTGCATTTTCATACACATATACTATTGTTTTGTTGGTTTTTTTAACTCCAGAACCATATGAAAATATAATTTAATGCACTTAACACATAACAATACATTCACTGTACACTATATCAAGACTTTCCTCCATACTGACAGTACAATACTGTCACAATTCTTAATTGGACCATGGTTCATTAACAATTAACATCAATGCAGTGAAGATGTTACCAAATGGCTCAAAGTTGATACATCCATAAACTTTTGGCATCTAATGATCTGCGGATCATTATTTCTGGGATTCAATGGTGTTTTATATAATCTAAAGTAACGGACATATTATTATGGCACACAGTGGGAGCTGCATTTGTTTAACAGCCCCTCTTACAGCTGAATACATGGCTAACATTGGACCCAACCTTTTTCTATTCATGACTAAACAATCACTTGGCTTCATAAGACTTGGCGCCTCTGAAGAGCACTGTGGGCTGAGCTTTCTGTAATGTCTGCATTCAGCTGGATTTGTCTGAACCGTCGAAAAAAACAAAAACATATAAAAGATCTGCACTGATTGGAATGGTTTACAATTCAAGGCAACGACTGTACATACAGAAATCTCACAATACTGAAAACACTGGAGGTTTGGTATACATCTTTCAATGCAGAACCTACAAACCTCCGCTCTGAAGGCCTTGTGCCTCGTTTGGTAGCTACTGTACATATACCAGAAACGAGACATTGGCAAAAAAATGCTGATTTGTTGGCAACTTGTTACAAAAAGTGCTTCAATCCTTTACTGTAAAACAGTAAGGAAAACTGCTTAAGTCTTCAGGAAAGTGACCGGGAGAATATGGCAGCAACGACACACAGAGTTCCCATGATGCCACTGAACTGCAAAAATACTATCAGAACCCCTGGGCAGGATTGTGGAGCTGAAATGCTTGAAAACGTCACCTGAGATCATCCTTTGGTGCTACCACACGCGTGCTTGCAGTAAAACAGATGAAAAAAGGTATTGAATACTTGTGATATGAAAGGAAAAGTAACTAAGTCAAACAATGATTATAAACATTACATCTCATAGTATGAAAAATGTTATACTGCACACATTCTGATTGTTTTCTTTTGTCACATTTGTAGGTTCAAATGAGACAGAGGAAAGGTAATTGAGCCTCTTTTCTTTAAAACAACCATCCTAATATTTCCTCTGACTTCACACTGCCTTTAAAGCAGGAGGCCCAAGGCTGCTCGTGACTTAATGTGGCCTTTCTCTAGTCTACAACAAGCCCTCATCATCGACGAGCACCATATGTCGAAGTAAAATAGATAAATGATAGTCTAAATGTGCAAAATACAAAACCGTGAAGTACACAAAGATTCAACATTCAGAATAAAAGTTAAGGATAAATAATAACACATTTATACCATGCAATAAAAAATAGTGTCATAGCAAAGAAGGATAAGAGAGGGAGAGAGAGAAGGGGGTGGAATGAGAGACAGCCATTGCTGGTGATCTTCAGACGGTCGGGAGGTGGCCTGAGGGAGAGTGCTGGTCGCTCTCTCTACTGCTGCATCTTGCGGATGATGTCAGTAGAGATGGGTGGGTGGAAGTTGATGGTGTGGTGGCGGAGACCCTGAGACGTTTTGTAGCTCTTCCCACACCGGCACTTGAAGGGTTTGCGCACCCTTATCTGGGTTCGGTGGCCGTTCTTCGCATGATACTTGATCCCATTCACATTCTGTAGGGAGCAAAGAACAGGACACTCAAACATCCCTTTGGCTGAGTGACCCCACAACTACTTCTACCACATAATCCTACTAATAAGAGGTCACACCTACAACTGAGCTTCCTACAACTATATCTTGCATTTTTTTTTTAAAATATCAGTTGCTTGCTGAGTAGGCTTTAGAGAGGAGAAATAAAATGTCTTGTTCTGCCCCTAAACAGATGCCTAAAACTGGCTGCTGCCTCCGACTTAGTCATCGCCCATAACTCTGTCATTCACGTCAGCAATGCAATGTTCTCAAGCTGCACATAATTTATCCCAACCACACAAACCAGATGTGGACGGAAAATCCTGTAAAAGTCCACATCACTGAAGTGGACTAGATGTATGTTGACATGCTGTAATGCTCAACTAAGAACTCTTTTTCCATTGTCAACAACGGGGAATCCATTTTGATTTTATATACGCAAAACAATCTAGTTGTTTATTTGTAATATTCCTGGCCATGGGAAAAAGGTGTAATCTACACAATGTGGATTCTAAGGAGAGATGCTGAGTGGATCGTACCTTGTATCTCTTTTTACAGCCTGGCACGGGGCATGCAAAAGGCTTCTCGTCTCCTCCGTTCATGCACATAGAACTGAGGATGGACTCTGAGCTGATGGCGCTTTCTGTGGTCCACGATTCATCACTGTCTGACTCCTCAAAATCGACATCCTCCTCATCACACTCGCTACCTGTGGGAGGGTGAAAGGCAGGAAGTCAAAGAGTAGCAGACTCAGGGCCTTGTGAGCAGACATGCGATCGTACGCGCTGCTCTCCAGGAAGCTCTGATTTTATGCACATTTCTAAAGATGACTAATCTGTTGGAATAAAATCCTGGCCCTTTAGCCTCCAGGCTCACAAGTATGGACTGTTCTCATGTGCTTCGGGGCAATGTTCCTGTCATCCCTGCTTAATGGGCTACATTGCCCACTTTTTTGGAAAGACAGAAATATGCCAATTGTGGGAAAGAATGTATGTACATCATTAGGGTCTTGCGGTCTGAAATTGTTTTATTCATTAATTAAAGATGTTATACCAGAAGACAAACTAAATGACCACAAGAGCTATAAAAAAATAAAGAACTTTAAAGACTGTATACTTTATAAAATAAGTACATAATAAGGGAAATAACTGCAACTGTTTTCTGTTATGTAGTATACACTGCAGAGAATTAGCTGTATCAGCTGGACCATAAAAGCTGCCCCTATTCCCATAGCGTGAATGTGAGTTTAACTTAAAACATTTAATAAGTTCTCCTGCTGACTTTCACTTGCAGGATAATCATTTATACAGTTTGAATAGTTCAGCACTGCATTGGAGTCACACGCCAAGTCCAATATTGAGATGCAACCAAGCAGGAGTGAAGAATTTTCTACAGACATGTCACAATTTATTATTAGTCAGCCGTTAAAGCCATTACTACTGACAATTGTCAAATGTATCATTTTTGCAGCAGATAGAGGTTAAAACTCTATGTGATATCTGCCAGTGTCTTAACTGTAGTTTAAGCTGTCACAGCTGCTTTTCTTTTCACCTCCCACGCTAAGTGAGACATCTGTTTCATCCTATCATATCTTTTTTTAAGTAAAAAGACAATGGAACCAGTCTTTGGTGAATTGTTTAACCCTGAAAAGGACATTGCACTGCCTCCATGCCCTCTTTCATAATGTAGAAGGGGGAGAGTGGTGTCTAAACCGGCGGAGGTTCAGATTTACTTCAGCAGGGTGGATGCTTGCCTTCACGGTGTCTTGAAACGGAACTCCTGGTTGAATGTCAGTCTCCTCTACTGCTACACCACCCTGCTGCTTGCTTAATGAACAATGCATAACATGTATTTCACTGCCAGCAGACACTACATTCTGGAGATCTAACTAGAGAGGTGAGTGTGTTAGCCATGGGTATGTACCTGTAGGCGTGCTGCTGCGGAAGGAAGAGGAAGGGGTGATGGGTGGGGTGACAGGAGGGGTGAGGTTTCCACTGGTGTGGCGAGGCGGAGTGGAAACACTGCTGCGAGACAGACTGCCTGTCAGAGACAGAGACAACTTGGGCTGCACCTTCTTCTTCAGGGTCTCGTGTTCCCGCCGCGCAGCATCTGTCATGAACCTGCCATTGTGGGATAAAGGACCAGTCAGAGTTGGAAATCTTTCTTATCAAAAGAAAGATTGCATCTCATTTCATGTATCATACGCGACTGTGGGTCTGTCCTGATGTTTGCAAAGTTCTGCTATCGGAGGTTTGCTACTGTAGAACACGTGTAACGGAAAACATTTAATTGGCTCTATTCCAATCAAAAAACCTTACACCAGGGTTTATGATGGATAGTAAAGTCTTTGGTTAACGTGTATCATAAAAATGAAATGTTAACATAGGCGTTGTTAAAGCAAAAGTGGAATTAACAAATTAAACGATAACCACATCAAGATGTGTCTGTGAAGGCCGGGAGACAACTTCTTGTACCCTGGCTTGTTGCATAAGGCTTTAAGAACCACTGTTGATGCACCATATCAAAGATGACTGGGATCCACATGGAGCAATGAAAAACAGATACCAAATACTGAAGCAATTCATCTAAGCAATCTACCAGATGACATTTGAAATGACTGCTAGCACCTCCTCTGAGCTCATATGATGCGGCAGTAATACTCACTGATGTAGAGGACTTTTGTTGATAAATCTTCATGGGGCCAAAGAGCAATAAAACCATATCATGTCAGGTTTCTAAATTAGATTTGCTTTTAATTAAGATACTGCAAAAATAATTGGAAATTCAGCCGTTTTCTTTCTCAACAATAGTTCTTTACCTGTTGATGTAGCTGAGGGCAACATAAGTCGGCTGCTGCTGCTCCTGCTTCTCCAGAAGACGGGGGTCCGTGTCTGAGCAGGAGAGAGACAGAGGGGTTACATAGTGTCATATAAGGTAGTGTTGTGGATAGCATTGGCTTGTTCTTTGTTTGCATCTCCAACAACTAGAAGTTACCGGTGCAGTGGATCCCTCACTGGCTTCCAATCCTTAAAGTCTTTCAAGGGTTTGATAAAGTGTATTACCTTGCCTTGAATGTCCTTGCATTGCCAAGGTCCAAGGCACATATAGGGTATATTATATTGA